CTGTTACTGAGGGCCACAGAACTGTTACTTAGGGCCACAGAATTGTTACTCGCACAGACACAGAATTGTTACACAGGGACACAGAACTGTTTACTGAGGGCCACAGAACCGTTACTTAGGGCCACAGAATTGTTACTCGCACAGACACAGAATTGTTACTCGCACAGACACAGAATTGTTACTGAGGGCCACAGAACTGTTACTTGGGGCCACAGAAACGTTAATCAGGACACAGAATTGTTACTGAGGGCCACAGAGAACTGTTACTTAGGGCCACAGAATTGTTACTCGCACAGACACAGAATTGTTTACACAGGGACACAGAGAACTGTTACTGAGGGCCACAGAACCGTTACTTAGGGCCACAGAATTGTTACTCGCACACAGACAGAATTGTTTACTCGCACAGACACAGAATTGTTACTCGCACAGACACAGAATTGTACTCAGGGCCACAGAAACTGTTACTTAGGGCCACAGAATTGTTACTCGCACAGACACAGAATTGTTACTCAGGGCCAGAGAAACAGAACTGTTTACTGAGGGCCACAGAACTGTTACTTAGGGCCACAGAATTGTTTCTCGCACAGACACAGAATTGTTACTCGCACAGACACAGAATTGTTACTGAGGGCCACAGAACTGTTACTTGGGGCCACAGAAACGTTAATCAGGGACACAGAATTGTTACTGAGGGCCACAGAACTGTTACTTAGGGCCACAGAATTTGTTACTCGCACAGACACAGAATTGTTACTCAGGGACACAGAATTGTTACTCAGGGACACATAATCGTTTAATTAAAGAGTATGTCAGACAACATGCAGAGGAGTGGCAGAGGAGGCAATGTTTTAGGAGCGAGCAGACGTGGCAGCAGCGGAAGGGGTCGAGGCAGCACTATTCGCAGCCAGAGGCCAGTGCTCCCGGTGTCATCCAGCGGTCGTGTCTCCACCGACAACCCTGCCGTCGTCGATTGGTTGGCTCGGTCGTCTTCCCTTCCCAGGTCACCTCTGACACCTACAGCCAACGGTCGGTGGGTACGTCAGACACAACCGTTAGTTGGCATGGCCCGGGACCAAGCCCACTGAAATCACGTGTCCTCTACCTGCCCCTGTCCTTTGGTGTTCCCTCACCAAGCGAAGTATCGCATGCTGTGGGCTCAGCCCCACTGTACAGTGAGGAAGAGCTAACAGAGGGCGGTCAGGAACGGGGGGAGACATCCGCCTTTTCAGCAGCAGGCGAAGAAGTAGTGGCGAGGAGAGTGGCTCGGTAGCCGGTCTAGAGACAGGTCTGTCTCCTGACCCAGACGCAGCCGAGGGGGCTAGTAGTGACGCGGAGACCCTACTTGATGATGAGGAGGTTGATCGCATGGCAGCCTCGTCGTCATCAGGCAATTTCTTCCGCATCATCAGGAGAAGAGGGTGGCAGCTTGACAGCGAGCAAAACAGTAGGTGGCTGCTGCCAGGCCCCTAATCTGCCATGGGCCCCTATATACCGCCTCCTCATGCTGCTGCCAGGTCCACAGTGTCTCATGCCATGTGCCACTTTCAGCAGCCTCCTCACACTGCTGGTGTGTTGAATTTTTTGACATAGGGTGCTGGCAGATTATGGGCCTCCTATAGCTGCTGCCAGGTTTCCCCCTAATCTGCCATAGCCCCCGAGGAATATACCGTATTCCTCATGCTGCTGCCAGGTCCAGAGTCTCTCATGGGTCCCTGTACGGCCTCCCATTGCTGCTGTCTCCATCGCCACACTCTGCCATGTGCCACTTTCAGGTCTCCTCACACACTGCTGGTGTGTTGAATTTTTTGACATAGGGTGCTGGCAGATTACGGGCCTCCCATAGCTGCTGCCAGGCCCCTAATCTGCCATAGGCCCCTATATACCGCCTCCTCATGCTGCTGCCAGGTCCAGAGTCTGTCATGGGTCCCTGTACGGCCTCCCATTGCTGCTGTCTCCATCGCCACACTCTGCCATGTGCCACTTTCAGGTCTCCTCACACACTGCTGGTGTGTAGAATTTTTTGACATAGGGTGCTGGCAGATTACGGGCCTCCCATAGCTGCTGCCAGGCCCCTAATCTGCCATGGGCCCCTATATACCGCGCCTCCTCATGCTGCTGCCAGGTCCAGAGTCTGTCATGGGTCCCTGTACGGCCTCCCATTGCTGCTGTCTCCATCGCCACACTCTGCCATGTGCCACTTTCAGGTCTCCTCACACACTGCTGGTGTGTAGAATTTTTTGACATAGGGTGCTGGCAGATTACGGGCCTCCCATAGCTGCTGCCAGGCCCCTAATCTGCCATAGGCCCCTATATACCGCCTCCTCATGCTGCTGCCAGGTCCAGAGTCTCTCATGGGTCCCTGTACGGCCTCCCATTGCTGCTGTCTCCATCGCCACACTCTGCCATGTGCCACTTTCAGGTCTCCTCACACACTGCTGGTGTGTAGAATTTTTTGACATAGGGTGCTGGCAGATTACGGGCCTCCCATAGCTGCTGCCAGGCCCCTAATCTGCCATAGGCCCCTATATACCGCCTCCTCATGCTGCTGCCAGGTCCAGAGTCTCTCATGGGTCCCTGTACGGCCTCCCATTGCTGCTGTCTCCATCGCCACACTCTGCCATGTGCCACTACTTTCAGGTCTCCTCACACACTGCTGGTGTGTAGAATTTTTTGACATAGGGTGCTGGCAGATTACGGGCCTCCCATAGCTGCTGCCAGGCCCCTAATCTGCCATAGGCCCCTATATACCGCCTCCTCATGCTGCTGCCAGGTCCAGAGTCTGTCATGGGTCCCTGTACGGCCTCCCATTGCTGCTGTCTCCATCGCCACACTCTGCCATGTGCCACTTTCAGGTCTCCTCACACACTGCTGGTGTGTTGAATTTTTTGACATAGGGTGCTGGCAGATTACGGGCCTCCCATTAGCTGCTGCCAGGCCCCTAATCTGCCATGGGCCCCTATATACCGCCTCCTCATGCTGCTGCCAGGTCCAGAGTCTCTCATGGGTCCCTGTACGGCCTCCCATTGCTGCTGTCTGTCTCCATCGCCACACTCTGCCATGTGCCACTTTCAGGTCTCCTCACACACTGCTGGTGTGTAGAATTTTTTGACATAGGGTGCTGGCAGATTTACGGGCCTCCCATAGCTGCTGCCAGGCCCCTAATCTGCCATAGGCCCCTATATACCGATTCTCCCTACACCCTCCTCATGCTGCTGCCAGGTCCAGAGTCTGTCATGGGTCCCTGTACGGCCTCCCATTGCTGCTGTCTCCATCGCCCACACTCTGCCATGTGCCACTTTCAGGTCTCCTCACACACTGCTGGTGTGTAGAATTTTTTGACATAGGGTGCTGGCAGATTACGGGCCTCCCATTAGCTGCTGCCAGGCCCCTAATCTGCCATGGGCCCCTATATACCGCCTCCTCATGCTGCTGCCAAGTCCAGAGTCTGTCATGGGTCCCTGTACGGCCTCCCATTGCTGCTGTCTCCATCGCCACACTCTGCCATGTGCCACTTTCAGGTCTCCTCACACTGCTGGTGTGTAGAATTTTTTGACATAGGGTGCTGGCAGATTACGGGCCTCCCATTGCTGCTGCCAGGCCCGTAATCTGCCATGGGCCCCCCGTACCGACTCCTCATGCTGTGACGTTGCAACAAGGTGGAATTCAACCCTACATATGTTAGACCTCCCTTTGCGAGAACAGCGAAAGGCCATCACCGATTTCCTGATGTTAAAAGCGGATAAAGGTACTCCCTGTGTATAACTTAGATGTCAGCCATTGCCAGCTCATGCGTGACACCTGCGCTTGCTCAGGCCCTTTGAGGAGGCCACGCTATTCGTGAGAGTCGGCCAGGACTATGGGATGAACCCGTCATACCCTCTGTTCCTCACGTCCTGGAACAAATGCTGTTAACAATGGCTGGTCAGGGTCCCGGTAGACGGCGCACACGCCATTCTCAACGCCACATGACCCCTGTGGGGGCAGGCCACACTCAGAAGAGGAGGAGGTTCAGGAGGACATTGGTGCTCAGGAATTATTGAGTGAAATGGGTGGTTTTTTCCACTCAGCGGACAGGAGTGGAGGAGCAGGAGCATCTGGTAGAGGAGGAGGAGGAGGAGACAGAGGACCCAGACGCACCGTGGCAGTATGCTGTGGAGATGGAGGCAGGGAGTCCCTCGCATTCCTTGGCACAAATGGCCCATAGCATGCCTCCCTGTTGCTTGCTGTGCCTACAGCGCGACAGCCGAATAATAACCATCAGACAGAGGGATGACTTTTGGCTGTCCCTCCCTTGTTGGACCCTCGCTACCGTTCAAAAATGGGTGGCCTTTTTCACACCTGCTGAGAGGGAGGCCAAAATAACGTACTATAAAAACCACCTATGTAGTCAGCTGGTCTCTGCCTGTCTGCGCCAACGTCCATCCTCAGACACTGTGGGCCCTGTGCGCTCGCGTTCCGCTGCCATGGCAGCAGCAGGGGAGGGGTGGGGTCAGGAGCAGTGGCAGCTCCACCTGCAGCGGCATCGCCTCAGTCTGCATCGATGATGACTAGCCATCCTTTCTTCACCAGCGCACAGTGAGGAAACTACTAACCAGCCGCAGCAGCAGCAGCAGCACAGCATCAGGTGGGACCTGGAGCAGGACCTCAAACAAAACAACAGGCTTAGGCCTACTTGGACAGCACCCTGCCAACCGAGGTAGACAATCCCCTTGACTACTGGGCAGTCAACGAAACTTGACCTTTGGCCCGCAACTAGCTGAATTTGCCCTTGAAAAGGCAGTCATGCCCGCCAGTAGCGTGGCATCGGAGCGCGTGTTTAGTGCGGCAGGAGGTATTTGCAACTCCGCGGAGGACACGATTACTGTCCACCCAAAGTGTGGAGAGACTGACGTTCTGTGAAAATGAATCAGGCGTGGATTAGTCCTGGATTTCAAACCACCAGAGTCTCCTGACACAACTGACTAAATTGCCATGAATCATGCCCCAAACTCTGCCATGTGCCACTTTCAGGTCTCCTCACACTGCTGGTGTGTTCCATTTTTTGTCATAGGGTGCTGGCAGATTACGGGCCTCCCATAGCTGCTGCCAGGCCCCTAATCTGCCATGGGCCCCTATACCGCCTCCTCATGCTGCTGCCAAGTCCAGAGTCTCTCATGGGTCCCTGTACGGCCTCCCATTGCTGCTGTCTCCATCGCCACACTCTGCCATGTGCCACTTTCAGGTCTCCTCACACACTGCTGGTGTATTCCATTTTTTGTCATAGGGTGCTGGCAGATTACGGGCCTCCCATAGCTGCTGCCCAGGCCCCTAATCTGCCATGGGCCCCTATACCCGCCTCCTCATGCTGCTGCCAGGTCCAGAGTCTCTCATGGGTCCCTGTACGGCCTCCCATTGCTGCTGTCTCCATCGCCACACTCTGCCATGTGCCACTTTCAGGTCTCCTCACACTGCTGGTGGGTTCCATTTTTTGTCATAGGGTGCTGGCAGATTACGGGCCTCCCATAGCTGCTGCCAGGCCCCTAATCTGCCATGGGCCCCCGTACCGACTCCTCATGCTGCTGCCAGGCCCGTAATCTGTCATGGGCCCCTGTTGTCGCTTGTTTGGCATATTCCGCTCGTTCAGATGCTCCTTCTCCTGCTACTCCTCTTCACGGATTCCGTCAGCAGTCTTTCTTGGAATCCGTTTCCAAGAGACAACATTTTTGCGAGCACGCACCAGACGGTGCAGAAACTGAACGTCCTCCTGTCCAAGTTGCTGCTGCCAGGCTCGTAATCTGTCATGCGCCCCTGTACCGCCTCCTCATGCTGCTCTGCCAGGTCCAGAGTGTGTCATGGGCCCCCGTACCGACTCCAAATGCTGCTGCCAGGCCCGTAATCTGTCATGGGCCCCTGTTCCGCCTCCCATGCTGCTGCCAGGTCCAGATTGTGTCATGGGTCCCTGTACGGTCTCCTCCCATTGCTGCTGCCAGGCCCTGTAATCTGCCATGGGGCCCCCGTAACCGACTCCTCATGCTGCTGCTGCCAGGCCCGTAATCTGCCATGGGCCCCTGTACCGCCTCCTCATGCTGCTGCCAGGTCCAGAGTGTGTCACCTTGGTCCCTGTACGGCCTCCCATTGCTGCTGTCTCTATCGCCACACTCTGCCATGTGCCACTTTTTCAGGTCTCCTCACACTGCTGGTGGTTTCCATTTTTGTCATAGGGTGCTGTATGGCCTCCCATTGCTGCTGCCTCCACCGCCACACTGTGGCTCCACACTCTGGTTTTGGCCCCGTGACTGCCAAATGAGTGAAGTGTGCGGGTGATTCTAAGATCGACGGCACTCATCTGCATGTCATACTGCCTGACAGTATTATTTTCTCTTCCCCAGCAGAGGGGGCTCCAAGGGCATTTTAAAGGCATTTTAAAATTAAAGGTACAGTGTTCAGCACTAATATTTAAGTCTTCTCTGAAGCCTAAAACACCCTTTTTTAAGTTAAATTCACAGCGAATATATTCGACTCGGAATCGAAATTTTTCCACGAATTCGCCGAATCAGTCGAATCGAATTTTTGAATACTTCGCTCATCTCTAATTATAACTTTCACACAAAGCAACAATATACACTTATTGGGATTTTTTTTACCAAAGACATGTAGCAGAATACATTTTGGCCTAAATGTATGGGACTGAACTTTGACTCTGCTGTATATTTTTTATAGCTGAAAAGAAAAAAACTATTGTTTTTTTCAAAATTTGCAGTCTTTTTTATTCATCGCGCAAAAAAATAAAAAGCGCACAGGTACTCAAATACCACCAAAAGAAAGACATCAATAAAAAAATGCCTAAAAAGCACCGCAAAAAAAAAACCTCTGAGAAGCGTTTTTTGTATGCACTTGTCACGTGTCCTTTAAAAACGCTCAGAAAATGTGCAAAAGCATGGTAAAAACACCTATGCGTTTTTGTGATGGATCAGTGTGAAAGTAGCCTAAAGCATACATAACTCCCATATCTGTAGATCTTATTCTGTATTTAAATTAACTCAGAAGTGCTCATCCTAAAAACTTCTGAACTAAATTTCTGTTAAGTCAGGTAATTATAAATATTACATTATGATTAGTTTGTTTTTTCAAAAGCAGTCAGCAAGTAGAGCTTGCAGCTTCAGTTTAAGTGTTTTTCCAAGTTCTCCATTTTCTTTGTTTTTAAAGCAAAAAACAAACAAAAAAAAACAGTGATGATTAAATACCACCAAAAGAAAGCTCTATTTGTCTAAAAAAAGATAAAAATTTATTTTGGGTACAGTGTTGCATGACTGAGTAATTGGCATTCAAATGTGTGGACATGCGGAAATCTGAAAATTGGCCTGGAGAAGAGGATGAAAGTGTCCAGTACTGAAGTGGCTAAAAAAACTATTATTTGTGATTAGTAATCCCCATTAAATTTACTTATTAGATAGCTGGCTAGCCTAATATGTTGTGTGAAATGTTTGTTTGGCCTTGTTTCTCACTGAGAACTGATGATATGACATTATTCTGGTAAATACTCAGTTACAGAAACTCTTCAGGTAACATTCAGCAAGTCAAATAGAAAGAAATAACCACTCCTCCTCGGGCAGAATAAATAAATCCTGAATTCTATTTAGCGCCACATTAGAAAGTAATCCCTCAACTACAGTGTGTGTTTTAAATTTTCAAAAATGTAGTTTGCAAAGAAAGTCAATCCTTTTGTTTAATTATAACTGTTGCTGTATATTGGGAAATATCAGTAATATATTCATGCAGACTCGTACAGTTTCTAAAAGGTCTACTTTAAAGTCTGCTTCCCTTTAATCCCCTCAGGTTAATAAAAAAAATACAATAACAGTTTTTTTATTAGTGTGTAAAAAAACAAAATATAAACTTTAAAAAATTATACAAATGTAAAATTCTGTATTTTTGAAAAACAATAAGCAAAAAAATTCTAAAAAGTGTTAAAACAAGGCAACAAGGACATGAAAAAGCTTAAGTACTGCTACTATTTAGCATATTAAAAAATAAAATTTGTTGAAGTAGTCTGAAAATAAAGCATAGCACTAGCCACTCTGAAGCATCCTAATTCTGGCCATAATTAGTGTATGCCTTATCTCTTCGCTCCACATCACATATAATTTTGACATGAGATAAGCACACGCTAATGTTGTATATAGAATCTGGTAAAGCCGAGCTTCATCCTTACCTTATATTTTGCACATCAGTAGACAGTTCTCCCCCGATGCTGATAGTTAAGCAGTCGTATTTGCCAGTACAATTGTCAGTTCCCAGTAATACATTAAAAAGGAACAGCACCTACCCTCAGAACTAGAGATGAGAGAATCGAACTCCCTCGGCGAAGTGGAATTCGTTTCGATATATTAGGAAAAAATTTCTGCAACCAGTCACATAGGGTTGCTGAAATGTTTGGGAAACTCTTCCACATTGCATAAACAAGCTGGTCCCCCAGTGTTCCCTAGCAGTTTGTCTAGGCTTTCCAGCGCCTATCAGTATTGTCTCAGGAGGCTCTATATGATTCAACTGTTGTCCATCCAGCCTGTACCAGCTCCAGTGTTCTGATTATCTCTGGCATTCCGAGTCTGTATCCAGTCTTGTGTACTCATGTTTGTGACCAACAAGAATGCTCCTGTATTCCTCATGCACCCCCATTCTGTCTGTCGCTACCCCATGTTGGATTTCTTGCTTTTCCTAGCCAGCTTGCAGGTCTTCTTTTCACCCTCTGCACTTCAGTCCAAGTCCATGCATTGTCCTGCACACATGTGTTTCCTTGTAAGCTCCTCAGCTAACACCTTTATTGTCCTTACTAGAGGATGAGCGTATCGAAGTAGGCGAAGTGGAAATTCGTTTCGAATATTAGGAAAATTTTCGATTCCGAAAAATAAGCAGGACTTCGGTAATTGGCTGCGAATCAAAATTTTTCCTAAAATAGACTGGAGACATGTGGCGGCGACGGAGCAGGGGATGTCTGGGGAAGGCAGCGCAGACAAAGGCGCGCTGGACCATAATGCATTTCATTCATGACATGGTGATCGCATTAGCCAATCAGCAGCCAGCCAGCCTGCACTCTGTAATGGTCGAGCTATAAATGGCGGCCATTTTAGATTTCTCCATATGCCTCCCAGTCATCAAAGAGGGCAGACCTGGCTGTATTGAGGGAGAGAGTTAGGGCCACAGAAACGTTACTTAGGGCCACAGAAACGTTACTTAGGCCCCAAAAATCGTTTCTTAGGGACACAGAAATTTTTAAACACGAATT